AAAGGGATCCTGAATATCTAATACAGGTTCCTGAGCGTGGAGACCTAAATATCTTGTATAATTACGATGCTCTCCCAGCACCAGGCCAATACATGCCTGGGTTCTGTAAATACTTACTGAATAAATGAACAACCTCCTATTTGACGGTTGGGTAAACTGAGGCTCAAGGAAGCAGAATGATCTACTCCTGAGTCTGAGTTGGAATCCAATGCCCAGGGCTTTGAGCTCTTTTTAGGTCATTCCCCAAAAAACACACACATGTGCGCACTCGTACACGACAGGAACACAGTCTGGTGGGAGGTTAAGCCTTGAGCAACGCTGCCTGAGGTCGGGCAACAAGGCTATGGGAATGAGACCTCAATAAACCCTAAGGAACGGGTACCAGAAATTGTTTGAAAATAACCACTCCTAAAAGCTGACACAGAGAGAAAAGCAAGCAGTGCTTCCAGTAACATTTTCCAGGCAAGGCGTATCACAAGTTCAGATTTAAAAGAATCATTACTGAATGAGTCCTGGCCAGGTGCTACTTTAATCCAGACACAGGCCTGGGAGGGGAGATAATTGTCACTGATGTTTTATAGATGAGGGAGCAGGCTTTTCACTTTGAGGAGTGGCAGTGTGGAAAAGCTGTGCTCTGTGAGGCCAAGGTGCCAGGTTCTAAACTCAACACCGGCCATGGTAGGCAGAGTACCTTCTACAGGGCCTGATCCTTCCTGAGCCTTTGTTTCCAGCTGTAAACTAAGCAGACTGACCTTGAATGGGGGCCACAAGTTCAAATGTCTATAGGAGACTGTTTATCTAACCTCTCTGGTCCACAGCTGCCACGTGGAGACCTGGGTGACAGAAGTCAAAAATCTGGACTTAAAAAAATAGTAAAACCCCCATTTATATATATATATATATTTTTTTTTTTTTTAAAGACAAGGATGTCATACATCCTGCCTTTTTTAAAAAAAGATTTATTTATTTATTGTCAGAGAGAGAGAGAGAGTGTGCATGTGCACACAAGCAGGCAGAGTGGCAGGCAGAAAAAGAAGCAGGCTCCCTGCCGAACAAGGGACCCGATGCAGGACTCGATCCCAGGACCCTGGGATCATGACCTGAACTGAAGGCAGCGGCTTAACTGACTGAGCCACCCAGGCATCCCCAAACCCCCATATTTTTAAACAGAATGAGTTCAGCTCAGATCTGTGACTGCTAGAGCAGCGGTCCTCAGACCTCCTTGCTTTTTCTGGAGTTCTAGCCCCCCTACCCTCGCTCCCAGGAAGGCTGTCTGTAAGAGCTTCCCCCGTGGAAAGGCAGGACAACCTTGGGAACCTTGAAATTAAGGCAGCCAGGAGGTACTTCTGGTGGTGTCTCAGGTCTGGCTGGGTGAAAGCGAAGAAAGCCCCCCCTGGTCGGCAGGCCGGGTCTGGTTTCAGGTTCTTGGCACCTACGACAGGGTCCAGAGTGCGGATGGCTAACCCCCCTTCATGGGCCTGGAGCAGCTGCCTGAGTGGGACCTGCTTGGTTACACCCCCACCCCCCACGCCCAAGACAGCTGCTGTGCTGTGTGAGGGTTCTGTCCTGACACGCTCAGGCCAGAGGGGCTAGAGGAAGGGTTAAGCAACGCCTGCCGGACGGACCCAGAGTGCAGGTCAGCTGGGTCTCCAGGACAGGAAGCTGTGGGTCGGGAGACTTCACAAGCTCCAGGGCGTCTCCCCTGGCTGAGGGTGGCCATGAGCTGGCTGAGCTCCTTTCAGGTCACCACCTCTTTACCAGCCTACCATTCCTGTTTCAAAGAGGAAGAAAGGGAAGCTCAGAGAGAAGGGAGTAACCCAAGGTCGCACAGCCAGTAGGTGGAAAAGCCTGGATCTGAGCCTAGCCTTTCTGATTCCAGGGCCAGTGCTTATAGTTCCTACTACACCACACGGCCCATGGCTGGAGTTTGGTGCCACCCAGAAGGGCCTGGCTGCGATCTTGGCCAGGCCAGTTCCCCAGGCAGGACCTAGACAGGCTTCCGCTCCTAGAGTCCTCAAGCAGGGTTTGATGATTTCCTGAGTAAGTTAGAAAGGTGGCAGCCTCTGGCTCTGCTGGCCATGGGGGCAGAAGCCTGGTGCCCCCTGGACCAGGACCATAGCACACGGAAGGAAAAGGTGGCCCCTACCCCCATCTGTGACCACTACTGCCCACTGCCCTTCCTCAGGCGTTCTCCTCCAGGTGTGTGGTCCCAGACACCCTGGCCCTCTCACCAGAAACACCAGAACCCTTGACATGGGTTCCCCAGTCGCCCAGGATTTCCCTAGCTTGGCTCTCACTATAGCTTCCAAGTAAAGCCCAGAGAGGTGAGGCTACCTCTCCCAGGTCACACAGCTGGTTGAAGGGGTGATGGCTCCAAATTCCAGGGTCCTAGGAGATAATATTGCCAGTAATTTTCAAACCAGGTTCTGAGGGTGCCCAGGGGAACCTGAAGAAGGCTTCTTTGACTTCCACTTTCCTTTTTTTCTCCATATGGAATTCCCACACAGTACCCCGAAACCCACATGACTTCAACCTCCTCATAGTATAAAGGAGGAAATCGAGGATCAGAAGGGCACATGTGCTTTCTGAGGATCAAGTGGCAGAGCAGGGACTGAGTGTGGGCATGTCCCCTCTTCCCCAGAGACTGAGAAAGGAAGATGCCTTCAGGTTCCAGGCCTGGAGATCACCAGATCCAGGCTTTCAGGGAAGCAGTCCTACCTCCTCCAGCCCCTAACCAGGGGACCCCAAATGGCATGCTGCTCTCGAAATCCATTTCTACCGTTATTGTAACAGTGTCCAGTAAAAGCAACGTGTCAGGCAACATTCACTCCTCCCCCATTCTCTGTTTTTTTTCTTTAAGATTTTATTTTTAAGTAAGCTCTATACTCAATGTGGGGCTTGAACTTAACAAATTCAAGATCACGCTTTACCAACTGGGCCAGCCAGGCGCCTCCCCACTTCCCGTTCTGTGTTGGAATCTGCCACAAACATCGTCTTGTTATCTTATTTATCCTCCGAGACCTGCCGGCAGAGTGTGCTTTGCCAGCAGCTCTGCTCAGGGGCCCCTGCCCTACCCCCCAGGACACCTATTACCACCACCCCTGGGAGTCGGAGTTTTAAAGAGATGCCAGCTTCCAAGCTGTCGTTACTGAATCACAACTTCTCATTGTATGTCAGAGTTATAACCACTAGATGATATCCAGGGTTTCGGGATGCTGTGGCTCCAGTCCGTGTAAAAAGCTGATGTGTAGAGCCCCTTGTCTGGCCTGGTGGAGAGTCGTTGGGGGGGGGGCAGGGCATAGGGAGAATCCAAGATTTGGTTTTTCAAATACTGGCTCTAGCATGTGGACTTCACTTCTGCCTTTCCAAGGTCTCAGGGCCCCAGTCTGGGAACTACGACTCAGAAAAAGCCTTAAAAAACCACCCTTGCTGGGGTGCCTGGGTGGCTCAGTGGGTTGAGGCCCCTGCCTTCGGCTCGGGTCATGGTCCCGGGGTGCTGGGATCGGACCCCGAGTCGGGCTCTCTGCTCAGCGGGGAGCCTGCCTTCCCCCCTCTCTCAGCCTGCCTCTCTGCCTGTGATCTCTGTCAAAAAACAAAACAAAACAACAAAAAAAACCCCACCCTTGCTTCTGGAGGGCTGACGTCAAACCCCGGGGATGGGTCACAAAAGCCTGGCTTTTTATAAGCTGTTACAGGCCCCTGTGTTCAGAGGCAGACACACTGCCAGGCCCCATGCACCCGAATTGCTGGCCTCTTTCATCATTCTGAATGACTGAGAGGATCCCAGAATAGAAGAAGGTGCTAACGGGCTCATTCACTGTGCCTAGAGTGACAGGTGGTATATCGGATGACAGGATCAGGAGCCCAGGAGCCAAGAAGCCCGGGCAGCTGAGAGACGGGATGAAAAAAACAGGACGGAACTGAATGGGGAAAACCTTGGGTTCAGGTCAGGTCAGCACTGGCAACGCTGCCTGCCTTGGTGCCAGGCCCGGGGACAGGGACAGAAGAGGGGAAAGGGCCTGGTCCTCAGAGTTAGACCATTATATAAGAAAGCAGCACATGTGGGAAAATGCCTTGGCACCTCCTGCTGACCACAGACATGTCCGAGGCTGCCCTGACAGAAAAGGTACAGGACGTGGGGCTGGGGTGGGAGGTTGGGGGTGGGGAGCCCCCACTGAACTCAGGATGACACTGTGGGTCGTGCTGGCAATTCTGGACACGGGGCACCGCCCAGCTGGAGCCCGACGAGAAGGCGGCAATCCGCGAGGGCAGAAGGCTCAAATCCAAATCATGATGACAAATGCCTATTTTCCCACGGGGAAGCCACACACTGGGTCCTGGGCAGGCAGAAGGATCCGGGATGAGTAAGTCCTTGTGCTGAGGAAACTCGAAGGAGAATGCCAGAGTGGTGAGAAAGTGCCTGCTTTGCTGGGCGGAGCCACCGGGAGCACTACCATGGGGAGCACGGCCCAAGAAGGCTGGGACTGACTGATCAAGAATGCTGTGACTGATTAGTGCTGTCTGTCAAGAGATGTGCCACAGACTGGCTGTGACACACATGTACCACGAATCACGCCTAGTTCAACATGAGGGAGGGCTTGGACAGACTGGGATAGTGTTCTGGAAAAAACAGGCAATTCAGAAAAGCAGGGCTACTGTCTTCCAATACCTAGGAGACTGTCACATATCCACGTGCTCCAGGTCATCACACTGCATCCTGAGTGGGCCTGAGTGGGGACAGGAAAGGGGATACGGATTTTGCATTATAAGGAGGCACTTTCTAGAGGGCAGAGCTGCCCAGGAGGATGCAGTGAGGCTGGACACAGGCATGATGGCTGTCAGGACAAGACACAAGCCCTCGTGGGTGTGACCTTTCTGACTCCACCCAAGCCGGAGTTGTTTGTTCTTTCTTTGCCCTCCTACTCCACACCCAGTTCTGGATGCGACATCAGACATTGTGTGTGACATTCATACTTGAAACTCCTCTTTTTTTCATCCAGAGAATTGTTATCAACAAGCAAAAAAGATGGAGGAGAATGTTCATTCAGCCCAGCTACATGGGAAATGGTATGAGGACCTACACCAGGGCCTCAGCACAGAGGGGGCTTATAGTGCCTTCCTCTGGGAAGTCTGGCAGCACAGAGCCCCCACCTGAGACGATAAGCCCGTCCTCGGAACAGAAGATCGGTCAGCACTTGCTACCTGCCTCTGAGCCCTGGCTCTGTACTCACTCACTGTACCACTTAGGCTCCTGGGCCTCAGTTTCTCTCATCCGTAACAGGCCAACAATAGCCACTCACTCGCCTTGCCCGCCCCCACCCAGGACCACTGTGTCTGCAGAAGACAGGTGGGAAAGGGTCTGGCGGGCTCCCATGCAGCCACTGCCCCATCCCAGCCCCATCGATGGCCTGCAGCAGGTGGGGTCAGCGCCTTGCATGAGGACCCACAGCTGTCCACCTCCTCCACGCCTCACGTGTATCGCTGTCTCATGTCTGCTAGTTTTGACTGGTGACCACTGGTGTCCCTGCCTTGCCAAACTCCCCTCTCTCCCCAGCACCCTCTTCATGCCAACACATCACATTCTCAGCTTCAGGCCTCTGCACAGGCTGCTCCCTGCCTGCAACGTCCTACCCCCTCCCTAATTCCGCCTCCTCCTCCAGACCTCAGTTCCGGCAGGACTCCCTCCAAGAAGCCTTCCCTGACCGGCTCCCTTGCTGGGTCAAGCCCCATGCTTAGCCGTGCTCCGGGCCCTTGCCATCGCACTGTTTTATGGACCTGTTTGCTTTCCTGCTTCTCCCTTTAGACCCTGAGGCCCCTGAAGGCAGTGACTATGTGGTTTCCATCCCTGTAATCCTGTCTCCAGCCCAGAAGAGGCACCCAGGCAAAGGTCTGCTGACATTTAGGAGATACGACCCTGCTCCTGACTTTACCCCAAAAGAGGTATAGGCCTACAGGGCCTTCCCCCGGAAGAAGCCCGTGAGGATGCAGCAAGTAGCAAAGCGTCTGTAGGAACTGACTTGGCAAGCGGAAGACAGAGATGCTGGGACAAGTCGTGACTACAGGCTTCTTCCTCACACCCCCGGACCCATCCCTGATCAATTTTTTCCCAGCCACCTTGAAAGCCCAATATGGTGACATTTGGGGAGATCTCTTTGAAAGAACACCTACCCAAGTGAAGGTCACCAACCTCCCCACCCGCCCCGACAATGGTGCAGGGTACGAAGTGGGTGATTGGCGGCTAACCGTCATAATTACCAGTGTTCAGTGTCGGCTCAGGAATCTGCAGTGGCCCAGTCAATGTCCGAGGTCCTTACACCTGCGTCTTACATTTGATCCCCTCAGGAGATGTTTTCACCATCTCCTTGCGTGCTGCTGAGGAAACGGGGGCTCAGAGAGGTTGAGGGACTTGCTCAGCGTCACACAGCAAGTCACGCTCTATCTGGTAAGTAGCGCAGACCCTATAGGTTTCAATCTCCAGAACCCGACCTTCCCAGCATCCAGTCTCACAAGTAGTAAAAATACGAGCTCACCGATGAACACCACCGCACACGCATTCCTTCAAGGCTTAGAAGCCACTGCAGAAAGACAAGTTTGGTCTCCTCCCGCTGGTGGAGAGCACACTCCCACAAAGACCTCCAGCCCGAGCCAGCACCCCCGAGAGCACCTGAAGAAAGTGGACTTTACCTCGACAACTTCTACCCCTCTGGGAGCTGTTGTACCTCGATGTTCTTGCAAGCATAGTCATCACACCTGCCCAGACTTTGGGCTGTCCTGCCCAAGGGCCCTATTCCGCTCTCACAAAGAGACCTGTGACATCACCTGCCCTTGAAACAGTCCCTTCCCCTCCCAGCACTGCCTCCCATCTATGAAAGCTGGAGACTATGGTCAGGGGGTGGAGGTGGCACTGGTTGCACGGGTGTGCTACTTCTGGGTGGCTAGGAGGACATGTCTGTGTTAAGAAGGATCCTGGTGGGGCGCCTGGGTGGCTCAGTGGGTTAAAGCCTCTGCCTACGGCTCAGGTCATGATCCCAGGGTCTGGGATCCAACCCTGCATCAGGCTCTCTGCTCAGCAGGGAGCCTGCTTCCTCCTCTCTCTCTCTGCCTGCCTCCCTGCCTGCTTGTGATCTCTGTCAAATAAATAAATAAAATCTTTAAAAAAAAAAAAAAAAGGAGGATCCTGGAGCGGTGTCCGGGCGCAGCGGGAGTGCTATGACTGACTGGTGTGGTTTGCCATGGGCCTAGTATGGGGAGTAACAGGGAAGTGCAAGGTTTGTGTGGTCCCTGGGTGAGACGATCACCACAGATGTGCTGTAGGACTCTATTCCCATGATGCGGAATCCCTGTCCTTGACTCCCCACCAAGACCTTCACCCCTCATCCTCCCCTGCAGGCCCGCCAATAAGAGAGTTTCTTGGGCAATGTTTTAAACCCAGTTAGATGGGAAAGCAACTCTGTTTCACAGTCTCCTGCCCATCAAAAGAATGACCGACGAGGAGCCTGCAGTAGCTGCAGCTTGTGAGCAAGGGTGGCTGGGTTTCAGCGCACGGTCGATGCCAAGGGCCAAGTGACCTCAGGCCAGTCATGCCACTTCTAAGTCTCTACTGCTTCTGTACCATGGGGATCAGAAGTTCCATTTCCCTTGCATTTAATCACAATCAAACACTGCGCTAGGATCCCCAAGACTGCCAAGGGAAGTCCACTATCTACCTCACTGATTTGGGGATGTCTACATGATAGGAGATATTGTCCCATTTCTCAGAAGAGGAAGACGAGGCTCAGAGAAGTGGAGGGACTTGGTCCAAATCCCACAGCAGGTAAGCAGCTAATTGAGGAACTGTGCCTGGGTCCTACGATTACTTCCCCAACCTCTTATTCCACCTCCACAGGGGGGCTGTGGCCAGGCTCCACGCAGCCACCTTGGGCCTCTCAGGAGGTGATCAGTCTGTTAACTCTGCTGGAACGCGGTCACACGAAGCTGTTGAGTGGTAGTGTGCTTTAACTGGGAGAATTAATCCCCACCCAAAGACTTCATTGTTCAGAGATATCATATAACCCCCTTTTCAAATACATCCTCCTAAGACGGGCTTGTGAATGAGGCACCTGGAGGAGTTGAATCCAAGAGACAAAGTAGAATGGTGGCTGCCAAGGGCTTTGGGCGGGGGGTGGGGTGGGCAGTGGTGGTGGCAGAATGCGGAGCTACTGTTTAATGGGTGAAGAGTTTCAGTTTTGCAAGACGGAAAGAGTTCTGGGGATGGAGGTGGGCAACAACGTGACGGTACTTTCTGCCACTGAACTGTACACTTCAAAACAGGTAAGATGGTAAACTGTTGTTACGTGCATTTTATCCCAAATCTCTTAAGAATGGTGGGGGGGGCCTAGTGAGGAGTCTACTAAGGGATTCCTTACAAATAAGCTCAATGATCAAACTGCTGTTTTACAACCCAAATCCAAAAGGTACAAAATAAAATATTTAAAACTACTATAAGCATGAATTTAAAAAATTTCTGCTTTGAGTTAAACATGTTTGTGAGCAGGGGCTGATCTAAAATCTGCCCGCAATCTCTTTTCTGACATTCAAGAAAGAGAAATCAGAAGACAAAATTCAAATAGAAAATAAGGAAGATCAGAGGTCCTTGATGACAGTCATGGATGTATTGGTATCAGAACCTTGGAAAAGAGGTGGATAGGAAAGTGGAAATACAAAGTTTAAACTAAAAAAGAAATAACTGCAGAAAATGGAGGCGGGGGTCATTCTAATCTCATTGCCTGGACACAATTACTAGTATATCATTCTATACCAAAACTTTTTTAACTGTGATCATTTTAGAATTGCACCCTTGCTAAAAAGAAATGGAAACTTCTGCTTTGGCCTTTCTACACAGTAGTGTGGCGAAGAGAACAGTGAACCAAGACTTCAAATCTTGATTAAGCTGTGTGACTTCGGGCAAGTCTCTCAACCTCCCTGTTCCATCACGTCTAAAAACAGCAATAGTAACTGCAACCTGCAACAAACTGCCAACAGAAGCGACAAAGCTTTGTGAACTGTGAGGCAGTTGAGAGAGGACATGAGTAGTAAATAGAGAGTGAAGAAGCCTTTTCTTGATGACTTAGGACCGGGACAAAACCAATCAGAAGGTAAGCATTTGGGAGTTCTGATGTTAATTTTTAAAACAAAAGCAAAAACACCTCTTAACCCACTGACACCTCTGGCTCCTACAGAGCAAGCAGAGTTGTCTGCTTCAGGGCGAACAAGGTCGCTGAGATGAGGCCCTGACTGACCTTGCAGACCACTCGAAAGAATGGAACCTCTCTTTGTACCCTCAATATGCTAAACACTTTCTATTTATTTATTTATTATTTTATTTATTTATTTGACAGACAGAGATCACAAGTAGGCAGAGAGGCAGGAGGAGAGAGAGGAAGGGAAGCCGGCTCCCTGCGGAGCAGAGAGCCCGATGCAGGGCTCTATCCTAGGACGATGAGGGGCTCTATCCTAGGACGCCGGGATCATGACCTGAGCAGAAGGCTAAGGCTTTAACCCACTGAGCCACTCAGGCGCCCCCTTTCTTTTTATTTATTAGAGAGAGACCGCGCATGCGTGCGCACGAGAAAGCAAGCCTGGGCACAAGCGGGGGTGGGGATGGGGGTGGGGGGGCAGAGCAGAGGGAGAAGGAGCAGCAGACTCCCTGCTGAGCAGGGAGCCCAATGTGGGGCTCGATCCCAGGACCCTGGGATCATGACCTCAGCCGAAGGCAGACATTTAATAACTGAGCCAAGCAGGCGCCCCTTCTAAACACTTTCCACCTGAGGGTCCTGACCCCCCTGCAGTTCCCACTCTGCTCCTGGCTGCCTCTTTCTCACTGGCTACCTCACCTTCCAGACATGCTGTCCCCATCCTCTCTGAATATGGCCCTCTCAGCATCTATTTGTTCCCTTTGGGGCTCTTGTCGCAAGCAGACAGTATCTTGTGTATTTGTCACCTGCTGGGATGGGGACTCCAAGCTGGATGGAAGCTCCTCGAGGAAAGTGACCAAGTGTGTCTTGTTCCCGCCCCTCCCTCGGCTCACCACCTGGCTCTCTGAGCACAGGAATGGCTGACCCTTTGGAAAGAGAGGTGATGGCTGTTCGGAGGTCGGAACCGGCTGGGATGAACCCAAACCCCCCTCCCACCACGTTCCCGTGGGCTGCTCTGCATGCCCCCTCTGAGGAAACCACTGGGGCAGCAGGAGCGGAGGCGGCAGCGGGATTTCACCGGTGCTATCAGAGGAGTCCCTCTCCTCCTCCCCCACCCTGGCCCACAACTGCCCCCAGGCAGGCAGGAAGGCACCTCCAGATGGCTACCACACCCCCATGCAGGGCAATACCATGTCATTAAGTGTAGGAAGACAGGGGAAGGCAAGAAAGTTCGAGGAGAGCCTGAATTCACAATCTATTCACAGCGCACTCAGTAATGGGCCCCAGCAAGAAACTGGCCGCAGGAGTGATGACCGTCCAAAGAGAGACAAGCTCTGGCATGAGAGCCCGAGGGACTCTAATGGCCCTTGGCAGGCATTCTGGCTTGATCTTGACTCTCTTGGCCCCTGGGCAGCCAACCCTTGCATCCTTGTCCCAACCATAGCACCTTTCTCTTCCCTACCTGGGACACGCCCATACCCCAGGTGGTGAGGGTGTCTTCCCTTTAAAATCTCTGTCCACCTGGATCCTACCCAACTTCTGAGGTTTGGAAGGCCACCTCCTCTCGAAAGCCTGCCTTGATTCAGCCAGAGGCCCCATCAGAGCCCTGTACTTGGCAAACAATAACTCGATGTCCGTCCAAACACCCCATCCAGTCCACCTACAACTCTCCTGGCACGGGAGAGGGACAGTCTTTAGCTATTTCAAGTCTTCGCTCTCCCCTGGGATATAACAGCAGCAGCTAACATTTTCTCAGTGGTTCCTCTGTACCAGATACTGGGCTCAGTGCATTACACACATTTTCCTCTTGTCCTCACACTGAAACTAATGGCAGTAATATTATCTCTATTTTGCAGGTGGAGAAACGGAGGCCTGGAGAGGTTAAAAAACTCGCTCAAGGCCTCACAGCTCTAGGTGGTGGCGCAGGACCTAAACCCTAGCAACACGACATCAGAGCTAAGCTCCTGACCGCGGGTCTATGAGACCTCTGGGGTGTGGGCTCCTCCCCCTGCCCTGGCTCAGCCTTCCAGCTGGGCCTTATCCATGCCAGCTCTCTGCCTTCCCCAGAGGCGGCACGGCCAGGCGTGGATCGTCAGTGCAGTCCTTCCCCGAGGGCCGCCTGGTTGATCACCTACCCCGGGGCGCAGCGTGGGCCCTCAGGGAGCAGCCCCGAACCGAAATGGCGGTGTCTGGGGATCTTGTGATTGTGCAGACGAGAGGTACACAGAAACTGCATTTGTTGAAACAACAAAATTGATGCTGTATCTGCTTTGGCAAGGCTGAGAATTTTCTTAGAAAAAGCACAGAGAAATAGGAGCTCAAGACCTCAGCGAGTTAGATAACAGCTAATCTTTGGCATACACAGGCCAACCAAATCAGGTGTGAAGCACTCACTAGCTTCCATGGCACCAAAACTGACGGAACTGAGCAGCAGAGCTGGAAAGAACTCCTCCTGCCAAGAAACCAGCGGGGAATCCGAAGCCCAGAGCTGGAGAGGGTCTTGCCTGAGGTT